ACCGCTCTTGATTGTCCTATAAATACAAGAATTACAGACCTGTGCAGGGGTCATAAAAACTCATACTTGAATAGAACTCTGAAGCATTCTCTGCCTGCGCATATGGCTTTCGTGCATGGAATCATGTTTGGGTATGACTGCTTTTCGACCACTTTTGCTTTTTCCTTTCTAGATTAGGAGTAGTTTAGTCTTCTTTGTTCTTGTGACCTTTTCTTGTAATCACAGTACTTTGATAATGCTGTAATGTACGAAAAGTATGAACCATGATCTGCATTGGACAGATATGTATTGTTCATTCTGTTCACATTATTATTTGCGTGCACGAACGTTACTTGTTAGTATTAATTGAAGAATATTTGAAAACATGTAATTACTAAAACTTTCCCTAGTCTTCGTTCTCAATAGCACTAACACAGTGAAACACCTAAATTGAAATACGTTGTATGCTAGTCTAAAGAAAAAGAATCCATGAAACAAATTCCACCGTAAACAGATGTATTAGGTTTTCATAATTTTTAAAGATTCGGAAATTTCACCAATACAATGTATCAAACTATTAATGAAGTTTTTAAAAATATCGATATCAATTTGTAGATCCTCTCTTATATTAATTTTTCTAAAATATGTTTTTAAGTTATATATAAGCTAATGTTTATTTATAGAGAAATTTATTTTATTTTATTTCTTTTTTTTCATCTTGAAATGCTTACAAAGAAATTTGTTCAAACATCTCCTTAATATCATTAATTCTTACAAGAATATCCAGTTTTTTCATTAATTCACCTGAAAATAGATTTTTTCAAAATAATCTGAGATTGAGGACCAAAAAATATCTGACGAGAGTAAACCTTACATATCATATTAGTTCATTAAACACATAGGGAACACTATATTATAATTCGGAAAATCCTTCAATAAGAAAAGCAAACTTTTGAAAAGCTAAAAAAAATATATATATATTTTAAATCCAGTTTAATTAAAATATAGGCTTGTATTGATGTATGCCCGAGGATATATACTTGTTAAAGATTAAATAATTTTTTAAAATGAAAAGAAAAAATATTTAATATATTATATTTTAAATTAACATGATTTGATCAAAGAAAATAAATTCTTTTTAACATCTTCCAAGATAATCAAACTTGAAAATTGAAGTAAACTTATGAAACTCAGATAGATTCAAATATAAAAAAGTAGAATGCTGGCAAGTGGAAACGAAAAGTATTACCAGCAACACACTTCACTATGGCATGATTGATTTCTAATTTAATTCCATCGTAATTTAAAAAAAAAAGTTATTTATTTAGAGTTAATTATCTATATATTTTCAGCACTAACAATCAATCAAAATTTTTAATAGTGTCATATCAATTACTTATTTAATAAAATAAAAATAAAATAAAATAATTTAAAAGATCTGATTGGTTCAGTGTAAAAAAACCTTACACTGGTGATTAACTCATTTATTAATACTTTACTCGAAGTTCTTAGCAAGCCTCATTAATTAAAAGAATATACTTAACGGAATACTATAATGAGTTAGTCAATAACCATCAATAATAGTTAGTTAGATACGTACCCAGAGCGTGTGCATGTGCTGTATGGTAGCATTTAAATCACCTTTCCAATATGATATTTTTTCCTCCTCTCCATGTGTAACACATACTTGTCGTAAATTTGGTGTCTCGTTGACTTGATTAGAGAATGTGAAGCTTTTCATATTGCTACATGCGCTCACTACAAATTTCTCCAACAATGGAAACTCGAAGACACAACAGTTGGAGCTACAAAAACTTTCGAGTTCAGGCAGAGAATCGAGTTCTATTTCCTTCAGTTGTCTGAAAATAATCCATTGCATCTGTTCTTCATTTTCTGGCTCTGATACAATGGTTACCATCGAGTCACATTGAATTACCTTCATGGTGGTGAGTTGAACCAAGCTTTTTGCAGTTGATGGTGTCATTAAGTAGATTAATTTATTACAATTACTCACTTCCAGATTTGTCAAGCAAGTGAAAGATACTGAGGAAGGCGCTATAATGTTTAGACATGGACATTCCTTTAAAATCAAGCACTCTAACCTTTGAAACAGTATTGCATCTTCTTCAAAGCCTATCATCTTAAGTGAAGGTAAGTTCATTAGCATCAAGCTTTTGAGCATTGGAACAACCCCCAATTTTTCATTAATAAAGCATCTCGGAGGCACTAACTGCTTAATTAAACAATTACTCAACAATAGGCTTTTCAGATTAGGATTTCTATGAAGGAGAAAATATAGAATCTCAATATCCAGTAATCTAGATAGTTGACACTCTTCTAATTTGTGCATTCTATATCTCTTCAAAGAATTTTCATCACTTGCCTCTATTTGGATGGTCTTCAAATTCCAAATTACCTAAGAAAGGATGGATGAAATAAAGATAGGCAAGTTAAGAGCATGTTTTGGAAAGTCTAATTTTCCCAATTTCAGCTATTTACTCAGAAGAAAAATAAGTATGTTTAAGACAACCAAAAAAGTTTTCTTTTTCAAATAAATATTAGTTATTTTTATGCATCTTAAAATTTGAAAATTATGATTATTTCTCAGCAATTTTTTTTCTCCCTCTAAAAACTGATTTGTTTTATAAAAATTGCTTTTTTATATCCAAATAAAATTAAATATCTCAAAATCACTTTTCTACATATTTATCCTAACAAAATTTTTTTTTGAATATAATTAATTAAAACAATAATCTATTGTTAAAATAATCTAATTTTCACATTCGTTATAAACACCCCCTTAATGTAAAAGATTATAGAAGAAAATAGATCTCCTACATATTTATCCTAACAAAAAATTATTTTGAATATAATTAATTAAAACAATAATCTATTGTTAAAATAATCTAATTTTCACATTCGTTATAAACACCCCCTTAATATGTAAAAGATTATAGATGAAAATAGATCTTGTATGTAACAATTGAGAAATTTGTTTTGTTTTCTGTTATTCATTCTATCTCTATGAATTAGAGAGTGGATAGGAGTTAAAAGGCTTATTAGTACCTCTTCAGGCAAGAAGACGGGCCTTATTTCTGGGTTTGCAATGAAAAGCTTGAGTTTGTGACAATGTTCCACATATAAATTATCGAGTGTTGAACAATGTAATTCATGTGCTCCCCCAAAGAAACTCTCAAGGTTTGGCAGTTTCGAGAACCTGGCAGTGCTTAGTTTAGGTAACTCAAACAAAACGCTACTCACGTTGATAGTTTCCCCCCTGAAAACGATTTCCTTCATCTGACCACAATTCCAGACTTCAAGGTATTCAAGATTTTTAAGATCTTTGGCTATAGAAATTGGAAATATGTGTTTTAAGTTGACACAGTCTTGAACCCATAACTTTTTCAAATATGTGAATCTAAGAATCCCTTCTGGGTCTTTATTCCATACGCGCTTCAATTTTGGCAGTGCTTCTACATGAACATTTTGCAAACTGGTGATCTCCCTAGCACGACGTTTTCCAACATCTTTGAAGTCAAATATCTCTTCCATTGACTTGCAATTAGTAACCTTTAAGTCGCATAGACTTAAAAAACCTCCGACCATATATGAAGGGAAAATATTTACAAGTTGATTACACTCGTCTATGATTAATGCATGCAGTTTGCCAAAGGAACGTAAAGGAAACTTGGGATGCCATATTTGTCTCAATCTTTTCATGCTTGTCAAGTTGATATTCTTCAACTTTGGAAAGATGCCTCCTTCCTTTGTTCAAAATTGCCACAAATTTAATTAATTAACAAAGGTATTAAAGAAAATCAAAACATATCAATAAAGAGAGAAAAATAAATACGTAACTTGCATTATACAATTGTATTTAACTTGTGGTTTGTGCAGAAAATGGTTATATTTATATTAAAGAAAATCAAAGCAAATCAATAAAGAAAAATAATATATATATATATATATATATATATATATATATAACTTATTGCATTATAAAACTATAATATTTAATTTGTGGTTTGGGTAGCTAATGGTTATATTTGTTTATATTGCTATAATATTGGCATCACCAATTGATAGGGTTATTTTTTATAATATTTGTCTGAGGGGATATTTTATGAGGGTTATTTTTATAAGGTTATTACACAAACATACTCCACAATGATGAGATATTGTCCGCTTTGAGCCTTAGCCCTCACGGTTTTGCTTTTGGTCATTATCCAAAAGGGCTCTCGATCATTGAAGTATATTTGTATTATATAAGTTGTTATTTATTATTTTATTTTATTGATGTGTGACTTGTTAATTTGTATCCCAACACCAATAAGTATAGTCAAATTGTTTACTGATTAAAAAATATGTGGTAAAACTAATAAAAAAAAATACTCAATTCTTTTATCGTGAATTATGACACAAACAAAACGAGCTAGTCACAGTTATGAATGATGAAGAATAACTATTATTATTATTTTGGTTAGAAAAAATTAATTGTGAAGGGATCAAGGAACTTGTCGATTCTATAAAACAAAACTTAAGGGAAAATTACATAACGGTGTATACAAATGACCTACTGGTTAAGAATGGCATAAGAAATGCAATTTAAAATATATTGATGGAAAGAATTTAGAGGTGCAAGGAAGTCAAAGGATTTTTTTGGTATACATAACAGTATCGTGACCCCTATGAATTTATAGGAATTTAGAGAAGCAAGAAATCATAGGATTTTTGGTATAACAATATTGTGAGTTTGTGACCCTTATGATCGTGGTATTTGAAAGGCCACACACTGTCAAAGAATTTGAACGTAAAAGTATTGGATATGAAATAATTACATATCACATGTTGTTTACGAAATTTTTATTGAAAAAAAAAAAAAAACAAGTCTCATAAAGCTACAAACAAAAATGACAAATGGATGGATAAGATAATTTTTTTAGTTAAATTATAATAGGTTGGATAACAACAATTCATTAATCTATTTGGTCTATTAAAATTTTATTTAAAAAATTCATGATTTAATTATGTTTTTAGTCTTCTAAATTTAGGATAACTATTTTTTTCCCATAAATTTAAAATTTGTTTTTAGCTCATGTAATTTCAAAAAAAATGTTTTAGTCCTTATATAGGGATGATACCATCCACGAACTTCTTATTCTTCAAAATCAAAGCTAGGTGCATCGATCGAGCCCAAGCATGTTAGTTCTTATTGTCAAGAAGAGAAGGAAAAAAAAACAATTGAAGGACTTTCATGCAGACGATGGTAATAATAAAAGTTTGCTGCACTGGTCAAAATATCAAAAAGTAATAAAAACGAAGCAAAACGAATTGAGGATGGATTCCGAAGGCACATCCTTGGCCGAATGGGGTCATTCGGGAGGGAAGCCTTATTGTGCGATTCCGAAGGCACATCCTTGGCCGAATGGGGTCATTCGGGAGGGAAGCCTTATTGTGCGATTCCGAAGGCACATCCTTGGCCGAATGGGGTCATTCGGGAGGGAAGCCTTATTGTGCGATTCCGAAGGCACATCCTTGGCCGAATGGGGTCATTCGGGAGGGAAGCCTTATTGTGCGATTCCGAAGGCACATCCTTGGCCGAATGGGGTCATTCGGGAGGGAAGCCTTATTGTAATCAGTGGAAGATAAAACGTGTTGAGTTAAGCTGCTTCTCATTAATAGGTGCCTCGTTAAAAACCTTATCGGCCAAAACCCCTTTTCACTTTTTTGTAAGGGGAAAAAAGACCGATAAGGAAAAGAGTGCACCGAGAAGATATGTTGTGATTACAATGTTTGAATTCAAAAACCTAGCTAAAATACACTTTCAGGTGAGACGAATTCCATGTTCTTGGAACGACCTTGCCCGACAGTTCCTCGAGCTTATATGCTCCATTGTCAAGGTTATGGCGAATACGAAACGGGCCGTCCCAATTAGCCGCCAGCTTGCCTTCCCTAGGATTGCGTCTTGCCGACCCTTGAACCCTCCACACGAGGTCTCCTATCTGAAACTCCCTCTTGACGAGTGATGAGTTGAATCGCCTTGCCATTCGCTGTTTGCAAGCTTCCACCATAATCTGAGCTTGGGCACGAACTTCATCGACCATGTCGATTTCGGCCCGGAGGGATGCCTCATTGCTGTCTTCATTGAAATATTGCCTCCGAAACGATGGCTCTCCCACTTCAACAGGAATCATAGCATCCGTACCATACGTTAGCCGAAAAGGAGTTTCTTTTGTTGTTGACTGTGGTGTGCACCGATAGGCCCATAGGACCTCCAGCAACTCTTCGGTCCAAGCTCCTTTGGCGTCGCCTAAGCGTTTCTTCAACTCACCAAGAATAACCTTATTCGCTGCTTCAGCTTGCCCATTTGATTGTGGGTGTTCGACTGAGGTGAAGCGGTGTCGAATACCCAAGTCTTCCACAAACTTGTTGAGCTTGCGATCTGTAAACTGGAGTCCATTGTCAGTGATGATGGCGTATGGTATTCCGAAACGCGTAATAATGTTCTTCCAAAGAAACTTCTGAACATTACTTGCCGTAATGGTAGCAAGTGGCTCGGCCTCAATCCACTTTGTAAAGTAATCAACTGCCACCAACAAGAATTTGCACTGGCCCTTGGCTATGGGGAATGGGCCGAGCAAGTCCATGCCCCACAGAGCGAATGGCCAAGGCGAGCTGATAGTATGAAGTTGTTCTGCCGAGGCGTGGATCAAATTTCCATGCTTTTGACATTGAATGCATTTTTTGACGAATTGTGCACAATCACTCTTGATGGTTGGCCAATAATAACCTGCCCTTAACACTTTTGCTGCGAGGGTTCGTCCACCCGAATGTGATCCACAAATGCCTTGATGAATCTCCCGTAATACATAATCAGATTGTGCCGAGTCTACACATTTGAGTAACGGGGTTGAGAAACCCCTCCGGTACAATTGTCCTCCTATGACCGAATATCTAGCAGATTTAGTCCGTAGGTTTTTAGCGGATAAAGGTTCATCCGGTTCCTTGCCATGGAGAATGAAATTAAGAATTTCGGTCATCCAAGATGTATCGGGTGATTCTGATCCTGTTTCTTCTACCACCATGCTATCGGTCATAGCGGTGCTTGGAGTGGGTAATTCTAGGTGCAAGGTAGTTCTTAGCTGACCTGGTTTTCTGGAACTGCTTGCTAACCTGGCTAGTTGATCGGCGCGTTCATTGTTTTCTCTTGGCGTGTGTCGTACTTGTATTTCATCGAACTTGGAGCACATGTTGTGGAAGAGGTGATAATAACGGAGCAGGTTGGGATCCTTTACTTGAAAGTGATTGTTAACTTGCTCCGACACAATCTGTGAATCTGTCCAGCAAATTAAACGCCGAACCCCAATATCATCTGCCAATCTTAGCCCTGCTAATAGCGCCTCGTATTCGGCCTGATTGTTGGAGGCTCGGAATCCGAAGTGCATTGACTGCTCAAGGATAATCCCCTTTGGTCCTTCAAGAATTATGCCTGCCCCGCTGCCAACGTTGTTCGAAGAGCCATCAACGTGCATTGTCCATTGATCGCTTTGGAATTGACCACTAGGTTGCAACTCATTAATGAACTCAGCCCAGTGTTGTGATTTAATCGGCCCCCTTGGCTCGAATGATATGTCAAACTCCGACAGTTCAACGGACCATGCCATCATTCGGCCTGCGAGCTCGGGTTTCCGTAAGACCTTAGCGATAGGGCAGTCAGTTCGAACCACAATCTTATGTCCCTGGAAATATTGCCGCAATCTCCGAGCAGTGTGAACCAATCCGAGTGCCACTTTTTCAAGTAATTGGTACCGACTCTCCGAGTCTTGCAACATGCGACTGATAAAATAAATGGGCACTTGAGTTTCTTTTTCTTGTATCAAGACTGAGCTAATGGCTTCCTGGGAGACACACAGGTATACCACAAGGGCCGATGATGGGTCGGGCTTAGAGAGTATTGGGGGCGTTCCGAGACGCAACTTCAACGCTTGAAAAGCCGTTTCACACTCTTCGGGCCATGCGAATTTCTTTGTTCTTCTTAGAAGTTTCAAGATTGGTTTTGCTACTTCTGTGAGGCATGGGAGAAACCTTGACAGAGCTGTAAGCCGACCAGCCAATCGTTGTACTTCTTTGACACTTTGAGGACTTCGCATTTCGATCACGGCTCGGCACTTATCAGGGTTGGCTTCAATGCCTCTGGCCGAAAGCATGAAGCCAAGGAATTTGCCGCCTGCGACTCCGAAGACGCACTTTTCTGGATTGAGTCTCATGTTATAATGCCGAATTTGGTGGAAGATCTCACTCAAGTCTGTGATGTGATGATTAAGGTTATTGGATTTGACAACCATATCGTCCACATAAACCTCCATATTTTTGCCGATCTGACTTTTGAATATTTTGTTCATAAGTCGTTGATACGTTGCACCGGCGTTCTTAAGGCCGAATGGCATTACTCGATAACAATAGTTAGCCGAGTCGGTGATAAAAGCCGTCTTCTCCTCATCCTGTGGGTGCATTTGGATCTGATTATATCCTGAATAGGCATCGAGAAATGTCAACATGTTGTGCCCCGAGGCACCATCAACCAGACGATCAATGTTGGGCAAAGGATAAGCATCCTTTGGGCAGGCTTTGTTCAGGTTGGTGTAATCCGTGCACATTCGCCATTTTCCGTTTGGTTTTTTGACCATAACTACGTTAGCAAGCCATGTTGTGTATTGTACTTCCCGGATGAACCTCGCTTCAAGTAGTTTGGCCACTTCATTTTCAACCGCTAGTTTCCTTTCGGTGCCCATCTTCCTTTTTCGTTGGGCTATAGGCTTGGCCTCTCGGCAAACAGAGAGCTTGTGGCACATAACCTTAGGATCGATGCCTGGCATATCTGAGGGGATCCATGCAAAAAGATCTCCGTGCTTCTGAATGACCTTGCTTAACGCACGGCGATCTGATTCAGATAATCCGGCTCCCAAGTACGTGACTTGCGATGTATCGGGGCCGATCCGGACTGCAACTTTTTCTTCTATTGACTCCATTCGCTCATCTGCATTCATTCTTGGATCCAAGTCCCATGCCGAGGATTTATCTGCTACCATAGGGTTTACCACGTGAACTCTCCTTGACTTCGATTGCTTTTCTTCCACGGGGGCTACTCGCAAACTAGCGAAGTAACATTCTCGAGCTGCCTTTTGGTCGGCATGCATTGTAAGAATTTTTCCCTTGTCGGATGGAAATTTCATTGCGAGATGTGGTGTTGAGACAATAGCTCCCAACCTATTCAATGACGGCCGACCGAGGAGAATGTTGTAGGAAGTATTAGCATGTACCACTATGTACTTAACTTGGATTTCCTTGTACTCTTGCTCGTTGACACCGAAGCGAGTGAAAAGCTTAATGTACCCCTTGGTACTGACTCTTTCTCCCGAGAATCCAACCAAGGGATCATCGTATGGCATGAGTTCTTTTTCTGAGATCCCCAACTGCTTGAAGGTATTCCAGTACAAAATGTCGGCCGAACTGCCCTGATCCACCAAGGTTTTCTTGATTATGCAATTGTGGATTTCAACACTAATTACCATTGGATCGTCTTGTATGGGATCGATCCCTTGGAAGTCAGCGTCAGTGAAGGTTATAGCGGGTAATCTTCGAACAGGTTGCCGACTGACCATATTGACCGACCGGACGGCGCGTAAATGCCTCTTTTGCGCCGAAGAGGTTGAACCTCCTCCCGCAAATCCCCCCGCGATGGTGTTGATGACTCGCCTATGGGAAGATGTCGGCTCATCTTTCCTCTCACGTGATCTGCTTCGCTCGCGGCGAGGTCTATCGGCGCGATTTTGCCGAGGTGGGTCATGTCTAGGTTGACGTTGGCGTTGCGAATCAGACCGATCCACGAACTTATGAAGCTGCCCTTGCTTGATTAAATCTTCAATTTTGTCTCTGAGGGCCGCACACTCTTCGGTAGAGTGCCCCCTATTGCGATGGTACCGACAAGATTTACTAGTATCGGCGCGCGGTGGCGTGGCAGCTCTTTTTGGGACGGCCAGAACCTCCGATGTTAGAGCTTGTTCAAGAACTGCAGCGCGGCTTGCATTGAGTGGAGTGTAGTGAGTGTACTTCGGACCCCGCGTTGGCCGATCCCGAAGTGTGATCTCCTTACCTCGCCCCCGATAGGATGGTTCCGCCGGTTTTTCGGGCTTTCCCGACGGTTCAACTCGGGCTTGATTTCGGAACTCGGCCAACTCCTCCATCTGCATATATTTATCTGCTCTTCTTCGCAGGTCGTTAATATCTGTAGGAGGTTTCTTGCAAAGGCTATTGACGAATGGCCCCGGCTTTAGCGCTGTGGTCAGATGATGAAGCGCTACGGCCGGGTTGAGGTCTCGAATTTCTAGGGCTGCCTTATTGAACCGATCCATGAACGCACGAAGCGTCTCCTTCTTGTCTTGCCGAAGGCTGACTAGTGACAGAGAGGTCAAGCTATGGGGACGGCTTGTCGCGAACTGGATAGTGAACTGTGACGACAAGGTGCTGAAAGAATCGATTGAATTGGGAGGTAGTCGGGTGAACCAACTCAAGGCCCTACCTTTGAGAGACGTTGGGAAGATACGACATAAGGCAGCGTCGTCCGTAGTGCTCAAGGTTACCTGCGTAAGGAAAACATCGAGATGTTCATCAGGGTCAGTGGTACCATCATACTTATCGATAGGTAAAGATTTCCAATTGTCCATCAAAGAGAGTTGCATGATGGATGAAGTGAATGGGTGTCGGTGCGATCCGATAGTTGCCAAATCTGTGGGTCGGCCTACTGTTGGTATGACCGAAGGGAATTTTTGAGGTGCCACCGCCGAGGCATGAGGGGCCGAGGTGTGTACTGCCTGGGATTGATATGACCCCTGGGTTTGCGTGTTAGTGGCCTGAGTAGGTTTCCACGATGAATCTTGATTTCTCAACGCCTCATTCTCGGCTCTCAAGGCTGAAAGCTCCCTCGCATCCTTTTCTCGCTGCTGCTTCATTTTCTCCATCTCTCGCTTCATCAGTCGAACAGTCTCCGAAAGATCAGTTTCATCTACCACTTCCACGTGCTCTTCTTCTTCGGTTTGATGTTCTTCCATGTTCGTTCTCCTAGTTATCGCCATTGCTTTCGCTCAGTTGATCTTTTAGAATCGTTTCGGTTCGGCCCCACGGTGGGCGCCAAAATGTACCTGTCTAAAGGATACACCAATAATCCTTTCGTATTCTGAGGGCCGAACGAGTGCTCCGAACCAATATTCCGGTGTGGGGGAGGTACCTGCAAAAGGCACTCCGACGCTCAAGTCAGGACAAAGCGCAGATATCGATGGCAATTAATGAACAGTGACCTTACCTCGTGACAAGAGCTATTTATACTGACATTTATGGGCCCGGACTTCCATGGGCCCTGTAACAAGATTACCAGATTAGGTAATACGCTCCTAATCGGCTTACGGGTATGCTTAACCCTTAATCCTTAATTATGGGTACATTCTTACCTCTATTAGTAGGAATCTGAGTTCACTCGGCCATCTGGTAGCCGAACGGCATTCGGCCACCTGGTTCGGTCATTCAGGGGCCGATTGGGTGTCGGCTATCAGGTGGCCGAGTGGCCGAACCAGGTGGCCGAATGGCCTTACTAGTACATATATATTCTTCTAGTCCTTGAAACTAAATATGTGTTTAGTCCTCAAAATATAAAAATTATTATTTTTAATCCCTCAAATTTAAAATTTGTTATTTTAGTTTTTATAATTTTAAAAATATTATTTTAGTCTCTAATGACCACTGATAACATGATTGACAATATTTGATCATGACAATTTTGTAATATTAGTCACTCTAATGTGATGTTTTCACTGAGAATGAAACTAGTAATAGTCTAATTGACAATGATAGATTACAATAGTTATGTAATATTAGCAATAGTATAATTGAGAGTAACAAATTAACATAATTTTATAGTATTAATTAGTTGATCTAACGTGATGTTTTCACTAACAATTATAAAAGAATTTTGTACAATAAATTAATTAATAATATTTGAGTATAGAAATTAAAATAATAATGTATTTATATTTTGAGAACTAAAAGCACATGTTTTAAATTTGAACGATTAAAAAGATAAATTTTGAATTTGAAAGACTAAAATAATAATTTTTTATATTTTAGGGACTAAAAACATAAGTTTTAAAATTTTGGGACAAAAATATACATTCTTCGAATTAGAAGGATTAAAAACATAATTAAGTCAAAAATTCATCTAACAATGTTTGACTATGGATTATGAATTTATGATATGGATCTTTGAAGGCAAGAAACAACCATTGTATTGCAACGAGTCCAAGCAAAACATAATGGTCCTGAAAGGCTGAAATTACAGGTTTAGGGATGATACCATCCACGAACTTCTTATTCTTCAAAATCAAAGCTAGGTGCATCGATCGAGCCCAAGCATGTTAGTTCTTATTGTCAAGAAGAGAAGGAAAAAAAAACAATTGAAGGACTTTCATGCAGACGATGGTAATAATAAAAGTTTGCTGCGAGTGGCCGAACCAGGTGGCCGAATGGCCTTACTAGTACATATATATTCTTCTAGTCCTTGAAACTAAATATGTGTTTAGTCCTCAAAATATAAAAATTATTATTTTTAATCCCTCAAATTTAAAATTTGTTATTTTAGTTTTTATAATTTTAAAAATATTATTTTAGTCTCTAATGACCACTGATAACATGATTGACAATATTTGATCATGACAATTTTGTAATATTAGTCACTCTAATGTGATGTTTTCACTGAGAATGAAACTAGTAATAGTCTAATTGACAATGATAGATTACAATAGTTATGTAATATTAGCAATAGTATAATTGAGAGTAACAAATTAACATAATTTTATAGTATTAATTAGTTGATCTAACGTGATGTTTTCACTAACAATTATAAAAGAATTTTGTACAATAAATTAATTAATAATATTTGAGTATAGAAATTAAAATAATAATGTATTTATATTTTGAGAACTAAAAGCACATGTTTTAAATTTGAACGATTAAAAAGATAAATTTTGAATTTGAAAGACTAAAATAATAATTTTTTATATTTTAGGGACTAAAAACATAAGTTTTAAAATTTTGGGACAAAAATATACATTCTTCGAATTAGAAGGATTAAAAACATAATTAAGTCAAAAATTCATCTAACAATGTTTGACTATGGATTATGAATTTATGATATGGATCTTTGAAGGCAAGAAACAACCATTGTATTGCAACGAGTCCAAGCAAAACATAATGGTCCTGAAAGGCTGAAATCACAGGTTTAGGGATGATACCATCCACGAACTTCTTATTCTTCAAAATCAAAGCTAGGTGCATCGATCGAGCCCAAGCATGTTAGTTCTTATTGTCAAGAAGAGAAGGAAAAAAAAACAATTGAAGGACTTTCATGCAGACGATGGTAATAATAAAAGTTTGCTGCACTGGTCAAAATATCAAAAAGTAATAAAAACGAAGCAAAACGAATTGAGGATGGAAACCAAAGCTCAACTTTATATTAGAGCTCTAATATAGCTATAAAATGTGAATTTTAAGCCTAATTCAACCATTAGAGAATGTGAGTTTTTAACCTAATTTAACTCTATAAAATCATAGCTAAACTTTATATTAGAGCTCTAATATAGCTATAAAATGTGAATTTTAAGCCTAATTCAACCATTGCTTTATTTCTAGTTAATGTGCAATTAGAGAATGTAAATTTTAAACTTAACTCAATCCTATAAAATCAATTTGTAAAATAAGAATTGTCCTACCCACCTGTATATTCTATTTTTGGCCTTATCTCTTACTAATATGGGACTTAAGTTTTTTTCTAATACATATCTTCACATCCAAAACTATGAGTTTTGGGCCTAAACCAGCTTATAAAGTAAAAATTGTCCTTCACTTATATATTTTATTTTGGCCTTTACTTTAAACAATATAAGACTTGAATTTTTTCTAATCCCATGCCAAACTGATGGAAATCTAATCCTCAAGGATCCCTTTGGAAGAAGTAAGACCAAGAAGGGTGA